ACCTAAAGGATTCTATAATTCTATCTGTTTACTTTTTTTTTAATGTAGATGGCTGTATGGGAAAATAAGACTCAGAAAATCCCCACCCCTGGCAGTGCTCCTCGGCTGTTTGACCTGGTGGCAGTGAAGGACGAGAAGGTTCGCCTGGCGTTTTACTTCGCCCTGCGGGACACCCTCGTCGTCAGTAACCTGGAGGAAGCCACCAAAACCGCATTCCAAAAAGATAAACGCTGGAGGGTGGTAACACTGCAGGGACAAGTCATCGAACAGTCGGGTACTGGCTGCAGACGTGCACCTTGTAGGCGATACCCAGGCACTATTAGCTCACTGACTTCTTTTTCTCTCTTTTCCTTCAGGAACAATGACTGGTGGTGGTGGGAGAATAATGAAGGGCAGAATGGGTTCCTCAGTCGTAACGGATATTTCAGAAGAAGAGGTCAGTGCATCATCCTAATTAAATAGAATTCTGTCAAACTTGCTTTTGTTTTGGCGTCTTGGACACACTTGTGCTACATCCTTTTAAGTCAGCACGAGTAGTTAACAATCTGTAATGCAAGACATGTGAAGGATGATTTAAAGTTCACAAGGTCAGCGTAGGTTACAGTGCTTGAAAGCACATTTGCTCACAGCCTGGCTATCACCTGCCTATTATTTAATTTTTAGACTCATACCTTTGCTAGCTTGGAAACTGACAGAAGGTAGGGATGAGAATGTGGGTGATACTGAATGTAAAGAACCGCTGAGCTGCAAAGCAGTGCTCACACACCTCGAAGCGTTCCATCTTCTGTGTTTTCACCCTCAGCTAGCTTGGAAAACAGGATTGTATTGGCCAAGAAAAACCTCTGCAAACCTGGAGAGTGTGACATACAACTCCTTTTTGTCAAGCCTATTCAGATAGCACTGTACTTGTAGAGAACTAAGGAACTAACCTCATGGACAACGTGCCATTGCCTTGAATGGGTCTAGAACTCCGATAAAGCAGCTCATATTTAGGTCTTGCTGATTAAGGGACTTCACAATTTCCTGTCTTCACACTTCAGATTTATTAATTGTTTGTCCTCTCCAAGATACAGGCTTCAGCAGCTGTTTTCTGCTTGGTGCAGGAGAGCTACTGTGGCACCCAGTAAAGATCAGTAGCTGTAACTTAATTTCTCTGTTTTCAAGAGCTCTGTTCCTGTGGACAACTCCAGGTGGAACAAATATATTTGTATCCACTCCCGTTAGTTCTCTGTACATAAAACCAGCAAATGGGCCGAGCTCTGAAACTGGTCCTTGTTCCTTCTGTCCTTGTTCCAAGGTGAATGGCAGGACTTGGTCACTTGAGCAGTGACTACGTAAAAACCTTGTTCTCCTAACACTAGATTACCACAGAAACCAACGAGCATCAAATCTTTTGTAAAAATGGCTTCTAGCTTCTGCTTGTGTGGTTTTTGGCTTCTGCCTTCACTACTCTGACTTAAGCCTTTCAAGCTTAGTCTAGTTTTATTTCCTTAAAACAATTCTTCATTACGAGCTATTTTTACAGGGATTCTTCAGCTTATTTTCTCTTATGCTTGCTCCTCTTGTTTTTCACCATTATAATCAATCTTCTCTGCAGCCAGCCTCCATATTCTGTCCAGCTACAGCAAATTTTTCAAGCTTTTGCTCCCCTTTCTTCGTGTGTTTTAAGAGATGTCAGACTGTGGAACACACGAGTGAGATCTGGCTTTGTTTTGAGCTGGCGACAATGGGCAAATGACCGCATCTCATTTCTGTGTAGGTCAGTAAAATGGAAGGTCAGCTGCAGAAGGACTGTCAAAGAGTGATGCAGTATGAAGAAGAGAAATTACAACTTGAAGAAGCCATAAGGAAACTGGACCGAGATGTTTGGGAAATGAGAAATAATTTAGAAAAGTACACAGCAAGTATCCAGGTGAATGAATGACCAGTGAGGCAGCATCTGGCCTCTCTGTTGGTGGGGTTGTGGGGGTATAACTTCTTGAGCTTCAGCTCAACACAGTCCTTTGTTGCCCTCAAGGATCTGTTTGAAGTCCAGGATTCTAACACAGTTATCTTTTCTGTAGAGCTTATCTGACCAAGAAATTCTTCTAAAAACTGAAGTTAAGAAACTTGAAGCTAATGTAATTGCTGCTGCTCCAAACAAAAACAAACAGAAGGAACTGGAAAACGCCTATAATAGTTATAAAAAAGGTACATTTTGTGGAGAGGGGATTACAGACAAAAACTATAGTCCTGTTCTTTTAGTAACGCAGGAAAGAATGGTTACGGCTTTGTCCTTCCTGACCACCAGTGAAGCACTGTATCTTGCTTTGGAACCCCCTTTCTTCTAAGAGGGGGGTAAAAGATGCTTCTAGAGATTAGAGTGAAACCTGGGTTTTTTTCCAATTGCTCAAGTTCATGTGTCAGTGAAGCGGAAGTAAAAGTTCATTTTAGTATTTTTTTATTTAGTTAGATTTTCATGGAGGTGTTATGAACAGACTCATAGGGAAACTTCATTTAATTAGGGGGAAGAATTGTTAATGTGGAGCTAATAATATTGGAGTCAAGTGAAGGACTATGAGGACTCTAAAATAAACACCCTGCGTTCTGTTGTTGGCACACTGTACCCCAGTTCTCTGTGTGGAAGGTCCTCACTGTGAGTACCTGGATAACTGTTTCTCTAAAGAAATCGAGAGCTTAGGTTTTGTTGAGTTTTAAGTATGAGCTTAACAAGGAAACGAACCCACCCTGAAGGCTGAGTAAGGTGTTATGGTTCTCAGCATATGAGTAGCTAGACCAGTAACAGCAACCATTTCATACAATGTAACCTCTTTGAGCATCTTCTCATTAAACAAACACAATAAGAATAAAGAACAGCTTCTTAGGTACTATTTTAAGTACTCTATATATATTAAGTAACCGGGGTAATTAAAATTGTTGATGATTGACACCAAAAAAGCTTTGCTAGTGTGACAGTGTCAGAAAGATGTGGGTGGTATTTTTTGCCACCCTAAAAAAACCCACCACCTTTTTTCAGAGTATAAAGAAATCTGTCCGTTTCTCAGTACCTGAATACAGCAGAGCTTTCCGTGGCATCAGCCTGGGCGTAGTGCAGCAGTGCAGTTGTAGGGACAGCGCAGAGCCCTCACCTCCGCTCCGTACCCGCAGATTACGAGCACGCGGCTGAGAAGGCCGGGCGAGTAGAGGCCGAGGTCAAGCGACTGCACAACCTGATCCTCGAGACCAACGCCCGCAAACTCCAGGCGCAGCAAGACAAGCTGGATAAGATCCACAGGGACATAGACGAGTGCACTTCGGCAGTCAACAAAGCCCAGGTGGAGGCCAGGAGTGCGGACAGGTAGGGGCCGCACCGGCGGCTCCGTGCGGGACCTCGGGGCTGCACAGTCACGCTGAGGATGGTTCTTAGTGAAGAACCGTCATCTTAGTGTGCTCGACAGGCAAAGGGTCAGAGACCTGAGCGAGGAGAGTCACCTTGGCCTTCAAACGGCATTGGTGCCTGTGGGGTGGCTGCTGCTTTTAAGTAGTCTCCATAGATAAAAACCCTGTAATCTTAAAAGCTTAATCTTCCACTGCACATCTAAATATTGCTTGTGTCAAGGAAATAAAGGGGAATAATTTTTTTGTTTCTAATAGGCAGTTTAAAAGTCACACTTGATTTTTTTGCTAATATTTAATATAATATTTCAGGCTAAAGATTCAAAATAGCACTTAGTTGACATGCAGTGGAGCAGTTCAAATCTGAAGGGACTGATTTGATTATGAGGCAAGTTAGGAAATAAAATGTGCTGTATTTTCTATGTTAGCTTAACAATACATAACAAATACTCAGAGCAAATGTCAAAACTGTCTCTGAAAGGACAAATTAGGGCATTTAACAAAGCCTCTCTGCTGCATGTTTAAGGAAGACAACTTTGTTTTCCACGGCTATCTCAGGAGTATGAGTTCACACAGAAATCTGCTTTCTATTTGGCTGTCAGTAGCCAGGGAACAATCTTTGTGAGCCAGATCGTGCTTCTACATTATCTCGCACAAGATTTGCACTCGTGTGAGGTATGCAAACATCTCTGTACCTCCTCAGAAACCTGAAAAAATTCAAAGAGTCTGTTCTTCGTACGGAGAAGGAAATTGAAGAGAACAACAAAGAAATGAAGAACTTGACAGAAGAGCTGACTACGCTAGAAGACAAAGCCACGGAGGTTTTGAATGAATGCAGGCAAGCTGAGGTGGGTGTTGGGGTAATCCAGGGTGTGTCTTCATAGAGGGAAAGAGCTGTCCTGCCCATCTAGTCACTTAAGGCTCAGACTTGACAACACTGGTTTAAAGTGCCTTTTTTTCTCTTACTCTGGCCCTCATCCTCCAAAAATTCATATGGGGATAAAACGGCAAAGAATGTCCTTTTCTGTATCCACAATACATTGTGCCTTCATACACAACTAATAGTTTTATTCACTCATTAATCAAAATTATCCTTTAAATACAGATGCTGGGGGATAAAAATTAGGCTAAACCAGTCCTAGTAAGCAGTCTGGTCTTCAGGTAAAATCGGGATGATGAGTTAGAGCCTTATTAGACTCTAATTCTGTCCTATTCTCAAGCAAGTGTTGTACAGCCACAGAGTGACATGCACCATGGCCTGGGAATGTTGTATGTATTTTTTTTTTATACTTATCTGGAACTATACCTTGACCCAATTTTCAGAAGCAAAGAAAACACTTAAACCAAGTTTCCCCCAAATAAATTATTAGGTTTAAAAATAGATTTATATTTTTTTCCCCACCAGATACGTGGGGCTTTAGATTTATATACAAGAGAGAGTGGAAACAGCCAGGTCTGCTGAAATGCCTCCAAGTAAAGCTGTCTGCTTGAGACTGGCTTTCTCCAAAACAGCCTTTTAGCTAAAAACATCTGAGAGTAGAACTCATTTGATCAAGTCTGGCAGGAAAAGAGAAACTGCAGCAAAATTTCAGTCATTCCAGAATTCAGGGACCTGGTTAATCTAAATACAGGAGTTTTAGCAGTCTGACAGCAGTACTTCAAATTGTGGACTTTCAGGTCTGTCAGTAATAGTCTGAAAATGAATCTGTAACCCAGGAAAGCAGCAACGTTTTTGTAGGCAATGGATTAATGCCCTTTTTTTGTCATTTTTTTTCAGGAAACATTACCAGAAGTTCAGAAGGAGCATCGCGCTTTACTCGAGGAGATTAAAACTATTCAGGATGATGAACACACACTTCGGAAGGAAGCTCTTAATATTAAGCTGAAAATTGAACAAATTGACAGTCACATTTCTGCACACCAGTCAAAGATTAAATACTGGCAAAAAGAGGTAGGGAAATCATTTAGTTCCTAAAACTTGAACTGTAAGATTTCAAAAGATGAGTGTGTTAACAAGTAGTTGGAAAATAGAATCGTTTGGGAGAAAATTCTGTCGCATCAGTGGAGGGGATTTCTCCTTACCTGCTACTGCTTCTGTTGCAAAGAAACCTCCTTTGGATGATGTATTTGATTTTCAGGAGCAGAGTAATAGGATAAAATGATATTTGTTGTCTTTTTCACTTCTTATTTTTGAACGGAGTTACATGAATAACCTTTGAATGTTTTGAGACTGGAAGCTTCAATATGTGCTAATACAGAACATGTTAATGGTAGAGACATGTTCATGTGGTAACTAATGTGACCTTTAAAGACCTCTAGTAACTGGTTTTGAATTCTAGATCTCAAAGTTATCACTGCACCCCATAGAAGATAATCCACCTGAAGAACTCCCAGTGCTAAGTCAAGAGGAGCTCGAGGTCATCAAGGATCCCAGTGTCATCACTAATCAGATAGCTCTCCTGGAAGCCCAGTGTCATGAAATGAAACCCAACCTGGGGGCTATTGCAGAATACAGGAAGAAGGTGAGATTAATTACCACCGTGTAGGAGCAGGATTCCCCTTTCTGGTAGTACAGGACGCTCCTCATTCAGTGGTAGCAAAAATGGTTTAAAACCTTGGGTGAAGGAGCCAGCTTGTTGAACTGTGCTGCTGGTGGTGTCTTTCTACAGGAGGAGCTGTACCTGAAACGTGTGGCCGAGCTGGATGACATCACCAACAAGAGAGATGAGTTCAGGAAAGCGTTTGAAGAGCTTCGGAAACAAAGGCTGAATGAGTTCATGGCAGGATTTAATGTGATAACAAACAAGCTGAAGGAGAACTACCAGATGCTCACTTTGGGAGGGGATGCAGAGTTAGAGCTCGTGGACAGCCTGGATCCCTTCTCTGAGGGGATTGTGTTCAGGTTGGTCAGAAGATGTCATATTATTGCTGCAGTTCTTAATGGTTATGTTCCTTTTTGGTTCTTACGGAAATTTTAAGGGGTCAGCCATTTTAAGGGGTCGGTTTTAGTCAAGCAAGAATGGGTCTGCCAAGAATTGCCCCTCTCTTGTGGCTTGCTTTGCACCACAACGTATTTATCTTAACTGTGAACTGAAATAAGCTACAAGCTCTGAATTTGTTTCAGTGTTCGGCCTCCAAAGAAGAGCTGGAAGAAGATATTTAACTTATCGGGAGGAGAGAAGACCCTTAGTTCACTGGCTCTGGTTTTTGCTCTCCATCATTACAAGCCGACACCACTTTATTTTATGGATGAGATTGATGCAGCACTTGACTTCAAAAACGTATCTATTGTAGCATTTTACATATATGTAAGTATTTAATGGTAACCAGTATCAATTTTCTGAGACCTTTTCTCCTCTGCCAGAAAAGACGAAGTGGTAACACAGTTCTGGCCAGATGTTAAAATCTGGAATGATAGTGTGTTAAGTAGAAACTGAGTCCTGAGCAGAAAGATGCTCAGAATGTTGCTTCTGCCTCGTTTTTGATGTATTCCTCAGTCCCCCAAGCCCAAACGCAGAGGTCCTATGAGAGCAGAGCCATCTGAAATGCTGCGGGCTGACCCAAGTCACTTTTGTTGCAGGAGCAAACCAAGAATGCCCAGTTCATCATAATCTCCCTGCGGAACAACATGTTTGAGATGGCGGACAGACTGATTGGCATTTACAAGACTCACAACACCACGAAAAGCGTGGCAACGAACCCCAAAGTGATCGCAGCCAAAGGCCTGAAGGAACTCAGTGCTCTTGGGGTGACTGTGGCTCAGAAGTAGGGTGGGATGACTTCCTCTTCTTGCTGCTGCTATTGCTTTTATCTAACGTACTGCTGTAGTTGAGATTCAGAGGTTTGTGTTTGAGCTTGTTAATACAAGCAGCCTAAATAAATTACTTTTTTTCTTAATTATATGGTCTATATGGATTATATGGTCTATATAGAATTGTACAGAGGGAGTAAAGAGAAAAGCAGTTTCTCAAATGATGTATCTAGCTGTGTTTTAATGTTCTGTGGGTTGGCTTTAAGTCAATATTTGGGTTTAAATGCCTGGTTTTACCCCTTTTTATTAAAGTAAGCAAATTGCTTTTAAACACCATCAGAATGTTCTGTAACTTTTTGTTCTATGAACTCCAGCATGTTAGGCTGGGCATGAGACCCTTGTAGCCGTTTTGCAACTAACTATTTTTTTTCAGTTTCCTCTCTTCTCTCCCAGACCACTGTTGTGTACTTGGGGTTAATTAACAAAGTAATTATCATACTAATAATGACTTTCCCAAAGGGTTACCTGTTCTCATGGCAGAGGTGAGGCCAGGTGAGCCTGTACCCTCTGCCTGTGGCTCACCTGGCTCCTACAGACTGGCCTCTGGTGCATCTTGTCAACGCTTCAGCGTACAAGTTTGGCTTTGAATCCCTTTGTACTCTAAACTCAGGTTAGTCCCTGGCACACTTTCACTACTGCTGATCCCTGAACTAGAAATGCCTCTGGCTCCTGATGGTGCTTCCTAAAAAACAACCAACCACCAACCAAAAACCTCAGTATTTCTACGCTGGGTGGCCAGTGGCAGAAGAACTGCGCCAGACCAGCCCCGAAACGAGGGCTCCTGCAGCTCAGTGCCCACAGCCCACTGCCAGCTCTGGCTGCCTTCATCCCAAGCACCTGACAAAACCCAAGGTTGGTTTCTCCTGCTTTTGTTGCTGTGGTCCTGAGGAGGTCAGTTACAGCTCCAGCTCAGCACTGCCCGACTCACACTGTCTGAAAAGGCACAGTCAGCGTGAAGCTGGTGGGGGAATGGGATGGGGAGGTGCTGGAGTAATCTGCTATTGGATGCAGAGGCACTTTCAGTATATCGTTAAGATTAGATCAAACATTGACAAGTGAAACTACATAGGGTAAAGTGACAGGTATGGGCACAAGTTATTGTCAGGGAAAGCTCACAGTGTTACAATGGGACAGCTTTCAGAATCCACAGCTCAGCAAGTCACAAGCACAGTATGAGATAAACCAGGATGGAAACCCTTCTCTGACAGAGGTTTGGTTTCCCAGCTCAGGGTGAAGCTGAAAAAATCCCACGGTCCAGCTTCAGGGTAAGCGTAGGGGCAAGACCGGCCAAGAACAAGATGGTTCTGCACAAGAGGCAGAGCAGCAGCCAGGGGAACAGCGACAAGCATCTTGCAGCAGGCAGGTGGCTGCTACGCTGGAACTTCTACTGGCTCTTTGGATTTCTGCAGCAGTGCAAGAGGAGCTGCAGGACAGGATAATTAATCCTTCAGATAAGGAGCTGGGGAACAGGGGCACAAGGTGTTTTCACCTGCAGGAGCCAGTCCTGACAGAGCCATAGGCTGATTACGCTGCCTGAAGCCTCCTCGGTATCTCAGCACCCTGCGCTGCTTCTCCCACTGGGTCTCCACGCGCTTTCCACCAGACCTCTTCTAAAGAAAGAAGTAACCTAAATAAATGCATGCAGTCAGAGTTACACTTCTAAAACAAGGTTTCAAAAGAGAAAGTTCTAAAGATGAGAAAAAAAACAACACCCTGGGTTTGACAGGGTATGAACCCCTCTGACTCCTCAATTAAAACATACTGAAAAACTTATCTTCTTGAAAAAGGTTCCACTTTTTCAAGACAATGAAATCCACATCAACCCACCTCAGGATGTGCCCATTTGGAGAACCTTCCTAAAATCAATGAAAAATGAAATAAAATAGGGTGCTGGGAAGAAAACAAGGCTGGCAGAGAAAGCACAGCCCCAGTTCTGCCTAGGGAGATTGGTTCCATCTCCTCTCCCCGTCAGTGCTGCGTGGGGTCAGAGCAGTAAGAAATCAAGGTGTTAGCCAACCCTGCTGTAAGAATAGCTTTTATTTGTATGCAAATTTATTAAAATATATATAGCACGTTATCAGAAGAACAAGTACTAAATGTTTCAATGAGTGGTAAAGGCAGCATATAAATTCCTCTGGTCTTGAAAAATAAAACTGCACTATAAACTCTCTCTAAGTTTTTAAAAGTCAGAGAAATAAAAGGCAGCAAGTGGCGAACGCAGCCTTACAGGGGCCTGCAGGGACACTGTACCAGGGCTGGGGACTCACAGCCCCCCCTGCCAGCACCAGTGGCACTTTGCAGGGCCCCAGCAGCACCTGCTGGTGGCAATCTGAGAGTTGGGGTTTGCACTAGGGAGTCCCAGGCCAACCCTGGGATTCAGCCACTATTTCAACAACTACTTCAAGCCACAGCCAAGGAACGTGGCTGGAATACGCAAGCGTTGTATCAAGTGAAATTAGACACAGCAAATGCTCATGTCTGGGTTTTCTTCAGTGAATTGTAAGCTCACCTGTGTGCTACTGTTGACTCTCTGAGGCTGCCCCGGCTCTCACTCTCATCAGTCTGTTAGCAACTGAAGGCCAAAGCCGGCTCTGCGCGGGGATCTCACTCCAGAGCCTGGTTGAGACCAGAGCATCCCCCCAGCAGCAGCCACCAGGGTCAGTGACTGTCTGATGGCTGAATAAAACGCTGCCATGTTTCCTCTGCCCCAGGTAAACATCTCTGTTATTTGTACTGAAAAGCTGAATACAAATTGACATTCGTTGTTAAGTTGTTTCAAGAACTCTTGAAATGTGGAATCCTCACACTGCTGACTTCAACAGGGCCTTTGCCATTTACTACAGTAGCTGTCTGGTTTTGCTACACATGAAACGATTCAGCCAGAAGTCAGGACAGGTTTTAGTGAGCAGCGAGCTCCCTGCCAGCCTACACCAACCCCTGGCCTGGGCACAGCTGGCACTGAAAACTACAAGTGGGATTTCACCACGAGTCCTGCAGATGCTGCTGCGGAGTGGAGAGAACTGTGTGAAAGACAAAAGTGTCCTATACTGGTTAAAAAACAGAAACCAAAGATGACTGGATGTCATCCACAGGCAACCAGGGACAAACCAGATGAGATCCGGGACCAGGGAAACACACTTTGAGGATCTCGGGTGTAACAGTTAAAATACATTGAGAGCAGCCAGCAAAACACAAACCAGGAGTTTTACCTACCCCAGAGCCAGCGACTGACCTGCCCAGGACTCACCCGCTCGCAGCCCACGGTGGTTTTTTAACCTTTCAAGTTATAGTGCTTTTATTAAAATGAACTAAACCAAACCATCTAAAATTGTTACCCCAAAAAAGACAGTAGATGCATAAGGAGATTTATGAACAATCTGCAAGCTGATTGTCTCTGACCAAACAACTGCCAGCCAACCATGCTGAGTGAGCAGAAGAAACCTTTTTCCCTGCAAATCCTCTCAATTAACTAAGTTAGGGAAGAGGAACTCCATACAATGCAGAGAAAGGAAGGATACGGGACAAGAACAATGTAGAGCTTTAGAAATATAGCTTTTAAGTAAAAATGAGAAAAGTCCTGTAGGTTCCTGTGCTTTTACCTAATCATTGAAAGAGTCAGAGAAACAATTCTCCCCCAAAACTCCATCAGTAAATTAAATTTATGGCACAGCACATCCCCTATATTGTGCAAATGGGTGTAGAAATACTGATAAACGGGCAGCAGGAGTTCTGAGATACAAGCAGGAGTAGCTCTGATGACAGCTGAGGACACTGGTCTGTGGAAGGAAAGCACAGTTACCACGACGACTGTAAAAAGCAGCAGGACCACGAGCGGATCTACAGCCTGGAGGAGTTCCTTGGGTTCTCTTCCTTTCCCGCCACCACCCTTGCTGCGCAACTCCCCCTTTGGGATCAGTTTTATTTTTGGAGTGAGGATCTTGTTGACGTGACCGATTTCCGTTTTAGACCACACGTCTTTCAGCAGGTGCGCGATCCTCGGGTGAACCTCCACGGGTTTAACATCCGGCAGCGGCTTCTCCTTCAAAGCTTTGATACGTTGCTGCAGATCACCCACCTTCTCCAGAAAGATCAGCGGGGACTCTTCCTTCTGAACGTCGGTACTCAGCGACATTAATTCGAGCTGTTCCTCCCTTATTTTTTTCAGATTCTCAATGAGAGGGTCGTACTCTTCCCCGATGCGTGTGTCGGCTTCGTCCAGTGCGGCCAGCAGAGCTTGTTTCTTGTGCTCCAAAGTGTCACTCAATTTCTTAAAGCACTGGAGGACCGCCTTCCTGTCGTCCTGAACCACACCCTCACAGCGGGACTTGTCTTCACTCAGCCTTTCCAGAAGCAGGCACACATCAGCCCAGTGCTTGTCAGTGAGCTGCTCGATAAGTTTCCCAGAAGCCTCCTTTTCCTTGAGGTAGGCGCTGTGGATGTCATCGATGGGGTGGCCGTTGTGCTCCCCTATGGTCAGGCAGTGGCCACACACCAGTTTTCTGTCCAGGAGGCAGTAGACATTCAGCGGCTGCCTGCGGTGCTTGCTGCAGGTCGCCACGTCAGCCTGGCTCTCCCGCTGGTACTTCTCAATGATAGCTTTCAGGGCAAAGTTGACGGGCAGCGACTCGGTCCCGGCAGCAGGGATCTCAATGACGCTCCTGCAGTTTGGGCACTTCAGAGGAACTCGCAGAGGTCTCCAAATGGAAAAGTTGTTGGACAGCTGAATGACGCCTTCCAGGCAATTCCTGCAGAAGGTGTGCGAGCAGGGCAGGACGCGCGGGTCTTCGAACAGGCTGTAGCAGATGGAACACGTCAGTTCTTCCTCCAGCTGCTGCAGGGCCTACAGGAGGAAAACAAAAAGAAAAAAATGGTTCAATCTCTTTTTACGACGACTTGTTTAAAATCCCGCACGCTCAGCACCGTGTGCTCGCAGCCCCAAAGCCCCCGGCAGCCTGGGCTCACCCCCAGCAGTGTGGGCAGCGGGCCAGGGAGGGGATCCTGCCCCTCTACCCTGCTCTGGGGAGACACCCCTGCAGTGCTGGGGCAGCTCTGGAGTCCTCAGCACAGCAGAGACAGGGACCTGCTGGAGAGGGGCCAGAGGAGCCCCAGCAATGACCCAAGGGGGGAACCCCCCTACCGGGAGCCCAGCAGGAGAGAGTTGGGCTTGGGCTGCCTGAGAGGAGAAGGCTCCAGCCAGGGAGACCTTCTGGGGGCTTGCCACACCTCAGGGGGCATATGGGAGAGCTGGGGAGGGACTGCTTGTGAGGGTGTGTAGCAACAGGACTCAGGGGCAGTGGTTTTAAACTAGAACAGGGGAGATTTAGATTAGACATTATGAGGAATTTTAGTACTATGAGGGTGGTGAGCCCCTGCCCCAGGTTGCCCAGTGAGGTGGTCGCTGCCCCATCCCTGGAACCATTCCAGGTGAGGTTGGCCAGGGCTCTGAGCAACCTGCTCTAGCTGCAGATGTCCCTGCTCCCTGCAGGGGTGTGGGACTAGGTGGCCTTGAAAGGTCCCTTCAAACCCAAATCACTCCATGATTCTATTAAAATAATTTTATTAACCTAAGCATCTCAACGTGACATCTAGTCAGCCATAACCCCCACTGGTCGTTTAGAGCTAAGGGGAGAAAAAAGATGGGAAAAAAATAAAAGCAAGCAAGGATTCAAAAATTTCAGCAAATTCTGAGCTGCATATCTGAGATAAGTGACCAGCCAGTGTCTACCCACATCCCACCGCTGCCTGCCCAGCCTGGGAGAAGCACCCCTCTGCTACTGAGTACTTCTCACAGTGGGCAACAGTGGAAGGAAGAAATTAGAACTGAAGTTTCTAAATGACCTAAGAATTATGAGCATTTCCTCCCACTATGAGTAACATTTTCAACATAACAGAACAATAAGTATAGAGACTTTTTGTCCTCCCCTAAATTTTTGAAATGTTACTTCTGTCATATAAATAATAAATATTATGTAAATTTAATGAAAGCTACCTCTAGGTTCTGACACTAATCAAAGCTTGGCTCAATGGCCCTCAAACACCATCCCACTAACAGTAACTACACTCGTGGTGTTTATTATTCCTGGGTTAATTCAAGCACAAAACTAAAGCCCTGACTTTCGGTTTCCGTCCTTCCTACTGCTGCCTTGTCTTTCTTTGCCAGCTTAGTGACATCACACAGTGAAGTCACAAATAACTAACTCTAAGACCAGTTTTCATAATAAATCACAATTCTGCTTTTCATTCTGTTCAAAAAAAATGGGGAAATTAGTCTGAATTTTCCTTATCTTCTTGCCACATTCTCCTGTCCCCTCCATCTCTTCCAGGCAGCTCTGTAGACTTCGCTGTGGCTCAGAAAGAGATCCCGCAAGAACTGTGTGCTGCAGACTCTCCACTTGGGGCCGAACTCTCAATCGAAGCGCTGCTGAGCCTGTGTCCCACCCCCGGGTGTGCCCAGAGCCTGCTCCAGCCAGATGTGCCATCTTAACCTTTTGAATGCAGCAGTGTGTTTTTGCACCCATCTATCAGCATTTTTTACTGATGCTGAGAAGTTTTGCTGATTTTAAGTGTATGCGATGCAAAGGAATCATTAATTACTCTTTGAAAAGAAAGTTTGCATTTTGAATCGTGCAAACTACGAAGGATTAAATTCATCACTAACAAACAATTTACAGTAACCACATTAAGGAGCACTGTCCTGCACGAGGCACAGAGCCAGCCTGATGGGCGTCAGAAGGTAAATACTCAGACTCTGGCTCCTTGAGGGTTAAACCTGCTCTGGGTACAGAAATAAGCCTGGCTTATCTCAAGTCATTGCTACATCCAAAAGTGAAAGTGTTTGACAGTACAAGGCTGATCAGGCCCTTTTGCCTTGTTAAATCAGACTGAACTATAATAATAGCTTCAAAAATCCAATCCATCACCTAAAACATCCAATCCAGTTCCAGGAGGTATTTGTATGTTGTTGAGTAAGGCACTTTTAGTTTGAAAACACATTTCAATTAACGCAGCCTTAAAAACCAAACCAAAACAAAACAAACTATCCCACACACTTCTGGTCATTTTTTCAGCTAATTAATACAAAATGTTGGTTCACTTATTTGAACTCCCCTTTTGAGATACTGGGAAAAAAAATCTACTATAGAGAGATGTTTCTTAAGAACAGCCCTTAAGAAGGCTGATGAAGCGTGTTAGCATTTGTGACTATTCTCATAGTTAAAGGGAATTAACATCCAGCACTGCAGACATTTACAAAAAACATTCACAACACTTATGGCACTGAACCTCTTTCTGTACTGCAGACCATGAGGGATTTCTCTTTCCCCTGGGGGACCACCGACCTTCATTTCCCAGCATTCCACTCGGCCACTGTGGCAACATTAGGTTCTTTAGGTCTAGATGTTAATAATTTCACTTTTTAAACTGAAGTTCCAGATACTGAAACTAAAGAAACGTGTCAATAATGAAGAGAAGCTGAGAAACAAATCTACTCCATTGTCTAGATAATTTTTTTTTTTTTTTGAGAATTCACATAGGCAGTAGATTTAGAGGTAAGGTTTTTTATATATATAGACATCACTTTTTATTAAAAAAAAATAAAATAAAATAAAATATATATAAAAAGTTATTATGAATCCTGGGAATGTCACACTTACAAACAGCTAAGTTTTTTCTCCCGGTTAGAAGAGAAAGAATACTTAGCATGTACTGTCATTCATTATTTTCTCATATATATATATAGCTATCTATGAAATCAATAAATTTTTTTAAAAAGCCCCTGTGTTTCAAATCACTCTTTTTTCCTAAATCTAGGGCTGCAGTTCTCTTCAAAGGAACTGCTACAGGAGACAAGTTTTCTTTATAAAGAACACATCTACCTTATCTGAGATACATAAAAGGCAAGATGAGATTAATCCTCACAAAACTGTTTGCACTGCCAAGCAGTTGGTTGCTACCGTAAAAAACGAAGGAGCAACTTTACAGAATCTTTCTTAACTCTGCGATGACTCCCCTCAGACTCTGTAGGAGCAACCCTCCAGAGCCAGGACGTGCAAGCGGCGCCGCCCCCCCCAGCCCCGAGTCTGCGCGGGCTGGAGACCGGCTCTCCTGGCCAGCCTGGCGGCGTTTCAGAACCCTTGCAGCCGCTGCCCAGAGGGGCTGAAATCCCCACTGCCACAGAGACACGGCCACGTCTCCCGGGCAACCCAGGAATTCGCGGCTCTGGAAAGCCAGGCCGGCAGTGCCAGGGCAGTAGGTTTTGATTTCAGCTCTGGACAGAGGCCAAGGGTGCGTGGGGCAACCGGCCTCAGCCCCCACAGCCTCCCAGGCACCTCCAGATGAAGTGGCACTTAAGGATTTAATTTTTTATTCACAGTTCCTCAATTTGCCAACAGTATTTGGAATGCTAATGTTTTCTAGAGCACCCTGGAGCTTTTAAATTTTTTCTAGATAACTACTGCGAAGTTGTACCTGCGAAGCAAAAGGTAGAAATCCCCCAATTCAGTTTCATCCTACATGAGGAAATATTCTACATGTGCACAACAGTGGAAATAAATCAGTTGCTGGTTATCTGAAACAGAGACTGGGCACACCAATGAAAAGACCCAACATCACCGAGTTAAGCAAAGTGAAAGAAAAAAGTTTTTACAGTCAAAAAAAAAAAAAAAAAAAAGCAGGAAGCTGGTAGCTGCTTTCCTGCCCAGAGCAAATGCTTTGCCTTAAATGTTCCAAACAACGGTGGCAGCAAATATGTGTATATACATATTTACTCTGCGAGTCACCCAGTATGAGCAGATCACAAACCAGAAGGCATTGTAAAAATTCAGAGTTGTGACTGTGCCAGTAACATAGGGAGTTTCAGAATCTTTCAGCCTGCTAAGTGGCTGTGACTTTATCCTCTTCTGGTAAGCGATGCTGCAGATGAGGTGAGAACATGTAATACGTACAGAAAACATGTAATTGAGCTTATCTGCCAGAGCTTTCAGTTGAGCAGATCAAAATGTTTTCCTTGACAACACTGTTCCTCAGGCCACTGTTCACCCAGCTAATTATGCAAGATGCTGTTTAGAAATAATTATATCTGGAATATGGAGAATGTCAGTGTTTAGGTGGGTAAATAACTAACTGCTCTAAAGCAAAAGCCAGCCGTAACAAGCCGACACACCCCATTCTACTCTGGAGGATTTCAAAAGCTGAATTTGGCACTGGATAACCATTCACTTGAGGCAGAGCCTCCAGAGGAATCAGTACTGTCAGGCTTCCCACACCATCTTCACACCACTGTCAGGAACGAAGACAACATCTGCTCTCTCCTGAAGGACACTGCAACACCCGGCACTGCACTGCTCTTCAACTAAACCCACAGCAGCAGCTGTCTGCCCATCCCACAGCGCTCCACGACGTTCCCCGCAGCGTTAGTGTAAAAGCTTACGTGGTGCAAAAATGAGGGGTTAAATAATGTTACAGGCAGTACTTTCCATTTATAAATCACCTTCATGGTAAAGGGTGACAGAACTTTTTAAACCAACCAGGAGACCGAGGTGCAGCTCAGTATTTATTGCTGCATCCAACGGGACAGAGCCCCCTCCACAGCAGCCAGGTTTGCTGGCTGGAACAACAGGCCAGGCACCACAAATGAGAAACAACGCCCAGACCCTCAACCCTTCCATTGCAACCCATTTCAGCTGTATCACTTTACTCCACACCACAAATATCCCACACCCAAGTCACACCAATTCTCAACCAGGGACGTTTTGCCTGCAGTCCCTATTCCTACCTCAGCGACTATGCCACTATCTCAGATATTTATACTGTTTATGTTTTTACCTGGAATGAGATAACACA